AATAATAATAATAATAATAATAATAATTTTTATTGTAACAATCTGGTATCTGAATGGGTTTCTAAAGCATTGCACTATCTTGCAGTTAAAAGTTGGGTTTAAGCAATTGTTTAGTTTGATTTCAGATACTTCATGCTAGAAAACTTAAATACTTGGGATAAAAAAAAAAAAATTAAAGAATTTCAATTTTGAACTGGGTAGCCTGAAGAGCAATTAAAACGTTGGTCTGGCTCATAAAAATGACATTAGATAATTAAATAGCAATAGTCTTAGAAATTTTCAAAGCTTAATTTCAGATATATATGGTAGTGTGTGGGCAAATTTAATGTAACTCAACGCTACTTTAGAAACTTCAGAACAAGCAAAGTGGTTTAGAGGTACCAAAGAAATTTCTTCTGATGGTAGAGATCCTATTTCCAGTTTTATGTGAACAAGTTTTTCTAATGTAAAAAGATATAAAATTTTAAATTTTAAAAATTGCTTCTTAAATTTGTATCATAATTTTCAACATCTAAACCTGGAAATATAACTTAAGGTTAAAATGCCTTAGGCCTAAAGTGTCTGCTCAAAATAGCAGTTCCTGTCCTCAAAATTAAGCTTATAAGTTTCTCTAGGTGTTCAAAAAGGCCCTAATAAAATGTTAACTCTGCTTAAATTTAAAAGTTTACAAGTATTGTTTCAAAATGTGAACAAAAAGAGGTTTATATAATTATGGTGTTATTAATGTGTTCATATCTTCCAGGTATACAAGTCTGTAAGGTAGAAGCTTCGAAAGAACATTATATCAAGCTGGTGTTCTAAAGTTGTATGGTAATTTTAGGTTAAAAAAAAAAAAAAGCATGTTAGAGATTCAATTATATCATTTGTGTTCTATAACTGAACTCGTTATCAATAAGATATGTACAGTTCCATGTTACTTTCTACTCTGAGATACAATTTATGTATTTTTAAGTTAATGAGAGCCTAATCTATGTAAAGGTTTTATTGCAAAACACAAAAGTACATTACTACTTTTCTATAAAAGGTTAAAAGCTTTCAGCCTTTAATTCATGTTTTAGGTATGATATTATGTTGTGTTAGCTAATGTTCATGTAAACTTGAACAACAATTTATGTAAACTTTGTAAAACGATCAGCTTCAGAACTATAGTACTTGAGATTTATAAAGAGCCCTGCCTTACTTGAGATAAGGCTCTGTCCCATCTCACTACATGTGAAAGTGGCTATAAAAAAAGTAAGCAAGATTTCAGTACAGTTAAAGTTGTGTCCAAAAATAGGTTTGTGCCAAGATTACTAGGATCTCAAACAGAAAATTATGATGTATAACCCTGCTAGAATTCAAGGTAGCTATTATATAAGCTAAATATGTTTCTACCCTAGTTAGTTTTGTTTTGTAGTTTACTTATAGATGGTTTAAGGATTGCCTGTTAATGTTTTAAAGAGGTATTGCTTTAAGAACACAACCTGGGCCAACATAAGATAAGGAGTTATCACCTACAGGATAGAGAGATAAACATTAAAGCCCAGTGCTCTTAATATAAGGCTGTTAACTTATTTGCTGGATGTTTAAGATCAAGTTTTAAAATTAGTTAAATTAAAAGGGCCAAGAAAACCAATATTCGGCTCTTGCCCTCTGAGTCAGTCTGAATCAGGGAATAGGGGACTTCTCCAAAGGGCTCAGCAACTCTAGGCCACATAACCTCCTGAGCAGGGAGATTAATGAGACCAGTGGAGGACAGAAAGCCAATCGGTGCATTTGCTGTAAAGAGGAGGGTCATTAAAAAAGGGAGACGTCCCTGATGCTTCTGAGGGAAGCTACATGGTCAAGCAAGGCCTGGGCCCATCCTAGCGCAAATGGCACTAGCAGAACTGAAAAGCTGCTATGAAGTTCCCGAGGACTCCCAGGATAACTCAGCTGACTGTAAACAATAGGTAGAAACAAAAGTCAGTTTGACTTGCTTCATCTTAAACACTTAGCAAAGACAGTAAAAGCCAAAGCACAGCTGTTCCTGGACATCTTAAATAATAATAATAGTTAAATGTAACTTCCATAAATAAGTAGACTGGAGGCTACAAGAGAGATTCTTAGACAGAAATGCCTGATAACTGTTAAAGGGACTGCTAGAGTAGTTTTAGTCTAAGGCTTTTATTTCTAGCCAACGCAGGTAGACTTGATGTTTGCTAATATGGTTATCCAGCCCTAAGTAGCAGAATTAAAGATTTCTCTATTAGACACAGAGGAGAAACAAAAGGTTCTCTTGGAAGCTCGCAAAAAAAAAAAAAAAAATGTGCCAGGGGACGACGGGCGCCCCACCCAACTCACAAATTTGATTAAGGAAGCTTTTCCTTTAACCCGGCCAAACTGGGACTATGCGACTGAAGCAGGTAGGAACCACCTACGTCTCTATCGCCAGTTACTCATAGCGGGTCTCCATGGAGCAGGGCGACGGCCCACCAATTTGGCTCAGGTAAGACAGACTATCCAGGGGTCAGAGGAAACTCCGACAGCCTTCTTAAAGAGATTAAAAGAGGCTTATTGGAGGTTTACTCCCTTTGATCCTGATAGTGAGGACCAGAAAGGAAACATTTAATGGGCCTGCCTTCATCTCCCAGGTAAGTCAGGCGGTGGCCAATACATTGGGGATTAATTGGAAATTACACTTTGCTTATAGACCCCAAAGTTCAGGACAGGTAGAAAGGATGAATAGAACCATTAAGGAGACTTTAACTAAATTGACACTTGAAACTGGCACTAGAGACTGGGTACAACTCCTACCTTTAGCCTTGTATCGGGCCCGAAACACCCCAGGCCCACATGGACTAACCCCATTTGAAATCCTGTACGGTGCCCCACCTCCCGCTGTTAACTTTTATGAAACTGAAACCTATGCCTCCCTCACCCCATCTATGCAGACTCATTTGCATGCTTTGCAATTGGTCCAGAACGAGGTCTGGAAGCCTCTAGCAGCAGCATACAAAGAGGAACTTAAAACCCCCTTGCTGCCACATCCCTTCAAGGTCGGAGACACCGTCTGGGTACGCAGGCACCAGAGCAAGAACCTCGAACCGCGGTGGAAAGGACCCTACACCATTCTGCTGACCACTCCCACTGCAATCAAAGTGGACGGCATCACCGCTTGGATCCACGCCTCCCACGTGAAAGCTGCACATCCACAGGAGCCCACAGACGCCACTCCAGAGCCTGAATGGAAATTGCAACGCACCCAGAACCCGCTAAAGATAAGACTTACCCGCTGTTGATTTTTCTTGCTCTGTGCTCTATCTTCCCCATATCAGTTGCTAGGCACCAACTCTATGATCCCAATCGGCCTATACGCCAGACATGGCAAATACTATCGGGGGTGGGAGACATAATTTGGGAAAAAACATCCACAAAGTACCCCCTCTGGGCTTGGTGGCCTAACCTGGAGCCAGATCTTTGTCACATACTGGCCGGGTCAGAAGACTTTGATATTCCAACTACTGACCCAGCTAAACCGAGTGGGCCAGAAGTGTGCATCTCCAGCGGGGGCTGCCCTTGCTCACGCTATCCGGCAGGATGTAGGGACCCAAGGGCTCGGGCAGCTCTAAGAAAAAAAAAATCATTCTATGTATGCCCCAGGGACGGGAGAACTAAGTCGCAAGCACGTAAATGTGGGCAACATGAAAGTTATTATTGTAAGGCTTGGGGATGTGAAACTATGGGGGATGCATACTGGAACCCTAGCTCATCCAGGGATTTGATCCAAGTGAAAAGAGAAAAGCAAAATGAGCCCCCACTCTCTACAGACTATTGTAAAAGTACACCTGGGACAGTCAACACCTTATGGTATGGGGACGGGCCATGCACCATGTTTGCCTGCAACCCCTTAAACATTACCTTTACTAAGGCAGGCAGAACATCAAAAGATTGGTTACAAGGGAAGCTATGGGGACTACGGGTATATCATCAGACTGCATATGACCCGGGGGTCCTATTCAAAATCAGGTTAACTATAAAAGTTGACCCCCAGCCGATAGGCCCTAACAAGATACTCCAAGACCAAAAGGCTCCTCCTCCAAAAAAAAAAATATAAACAGGCACCCTCAAGACCAACGTCCCCATCTAATACCATCCGTCCAACCCCCTCCACTCCTCCGACCATGGCAGTTGTCACTAATCCTACTTTACCAGGGTCAGGAGAAAGACTAATGGACCTAGTTGAAGGGGGATACCAAGCCCTCAATTCCACCCAGCCCAATCTCACTGAGTCCTGCTGGATTTGCCTCCAGGCAAGCCCCCCCTACTATGAAGGAGTAGCTATTAATGGGAATTTCACCTATGGCACCTCCACCAGCTGCAACTGGGAAACAAGACACAGGTTGACACTGCCTGAAGTAACCGGTTCAGGAACATGCATAGGAGGCTCCTCTATGTTAAAAGAGCTCTGTGCATGTACTGCAACCGTGTCATCCTCTGACACATCCAGCTACTTAGTGCCTCCAACAGGACTCTACTGGGCATGTAACACTGGGATTACACCCTGTGTTGCGATAGCCAATTTCAACCAGTCTAAAGATTTTTGTGTGTTAGTCCAGATCTATCCACGGCTACTCTATTATTCCACAGAAGAATTTGAGGGACATTTCATGAGCAGGACTCGATTCACCCGAGAGCCTATCAGCATTACCCTGGCAGTCTTGTTAGGAGCAGGAGTATTGGCAGGGGTTGGGACTGGGGCTGCAGCTCTGATTGAGGGCCCTCGACAGCTAGGGATTCTGGAGACTGCAATCCAACAAGACCTAAGAGCAATATAAACCTCTGTAACTGCTTTAGAAAAATCCCTAACCTCCTTATCAGAGGTTGTTTTGCAGAATAGACGAGGTCTGGACCTATTATTCTTGAAGGAAGGAGGACTTTGTGCGGCCTTAAAGGAAAACTGTTGCTTTTACACAGATCACACAGGGGTAGTAAGGGAGTCTATGACAAAGCTTAGAGAAAGACTGGATGCAAGGGAAAAATTCCCTGTGAGGCTCCCAAAGTTGGTTTGAAAGCTGGTATAATAAATCCCCTTGGCTAACTACTATATTATCTACTGTAGCTGGCCCCTTGATTATATTACTGTTAATTTTAACATTTGGACCCTGCATATTTAACAAATTAATGCAATTTATGAAAGAAAGACTGTCCGTAATCCAAACTATGGTCCTCGCACAGCAATATCAAGTACTCCAACAACACGCTGAGCCACCAACTGAGCAAATGCTGAATTCTGAGCAGATAGATCAATGGATATAAGATTATATCCGGGATAAAGAAAAGGGGGGAATGAAGGACTTCAAGGCCCAAGGCCCAACATTAGGAAATCTAACCCCTGGGCCCTGAAGCTGCAAGATGCTCCCTTATACAACCCCCATGTCAAGACCCCTCCAGCAGCACGTAGCATTTCAAGTCCTGCACAATGCTACCACAAGATGTTCCATATAGATAACCCTAACGGTCAAACTTGAGGATGCAGGTTTAAAAACAGGAACTAAAAGGATAGGATGCAGGTTTAAAATAGGAATTAAAAAGACAGGATGCCATTCTATGGTTTTCCCAAGAACAATAAGTTGAAAAACAAGTTTACCCCCTAGGTGACCCACTGACTGGATTCAGAAGGTCCAACAGGAAGACTGTCGCTGTGCTATGCTAAGAACTAACCCACTTATTCCCTATAAAAGATCTGTGCCCCAAAGCCCTGTGTGCCAGTTCACCGAAGCTCCGGCTGAGGTTTCACTGAGCACCCGCAGGTGCCTGTGTATCAATAAATCGCCTCTTGCTTTTGCAGCCAGTGCCTCATGCGTCTTTCTTGGACAGGGAATCGGCGGGTCTTTCATTGTAAAGTTTCTAAGCTGCAAGGTCTGAGTTAAAATGAAAAGGACTAGGTATTGTTAGTTTTCTATGCTACCTGCAAAACCTGAAATTTCTGTAGCTGTTGAGACAATGCTTGGAACTGCCCAGTAAATATTTCCCCTGACTATTGGTTGTTTAATAAGGGCTCTGTGTGGTTGCACATAGGCATTGCAGAGCCTGGACCAATCAGTTTAAATGTAACCCCCTCCTTAGGAAAGACCTATCACTCCAGCCTGACCTGTTCCCGCCAATGAATGAACCAATCATGTTTAGGAGTTGTTATTCAATTTTCCTGCGCCTCATGATGATTTGTTCTGATGTATACAAGGCCCTCCGCCCTCCCCAAAAAGTGTACTTAAGCAGTGCTCAGCCCCTGCTCGGGGCTCTGGGCTGCTTTCCCTTCTTGAGTGGGCACGGAGCCCCAGCATGCTGGTTCAATAAATCCCCCTTCTGCCAATTGCATGAGTGGTCACTTGGTGGTCTCTTTCTCAGACATTTCGCGGGACCCTTACACCTACACAGATGATAAATCAAATCTTTTAAAAATGCTCTCTAGTTCTTGAAGAAAAATGAAATGAAATATGGGAAAATAGTCATTGATAATGTTGAAAGTGGAGTTTTGAGATGAAACAAAATTTCTCACTTTGCCAATTGCATCTGGGTGCTTGTCTCACAAATTTTGAAGAATAAAATCTATTTATTTAAGCAAGTCGAAATAGAACTCCCACCATATGGGTTCATTTTCATCTTTTCCATGACCCATCTTTCCTCTTGCAACTTCACCACGGGACAAAGGACTTTGTTGAAGGTATTCCCAAAAGTGGGCATTAAGGTTTTTTTACATTTGAAATAGGCCTTAATGGTGCTCATTAACATATCTCCCAGTTAGCCTCCAGCTGTGTTAGAATGAGGTTCATTATCCTGATTACACTGTAATTTTACTATCCCTTCTATTTTATACTAATTCACTATGAAAAAAGAACCCTAGATTTGAATATGTGAACAGAGAGCTAGAAAACTAGAGGTTTATTCTCAGACCTAGGAAGAGTTAAGCTTAAGTTCTGGAATTTATATTGTTGTTCTGAATTTGTGATACTGCTTCCCCTACATTAAAAAAGCTCAGGAGTCATGAGGAGTATTGAGTTAAAATCCAGCATCAGCAACTTAATGAGGCCCTAAGAAACTCAAAGGGACCCTGTCTCCATATAAAAATATTTTGAAAAGGCTGGGGAATGTGATTCAGTGGCTGAACACCCCTGGGTTGAATTATTCCTGGTACCAAAAAGAAAACAAAACACACACACACACACACACACACACACACACACAAAAAAAAAAAAAACCTCCATAACAAGCTCTAAAAGTACAATCTCTCTTGTGCATGGAAACAACAAATGAAGTTTGGGTTCTCTTCAGATAATTATTCCAGTCTTCACCACACAATGTGGGAACATACTGGACTCATGGCACATGGATGCCCACAAAGGGCTTTAGAGACAAGCTGAAAACACCATACAATTATGGAACAAAATGCCCAGGTTTTTAACTGCGGATCTAAGCTTCATTAGACTAGTAACGGGGCGGGGGGGGGGGGGATGGAGGTTGATCTACCACAGAGACCCACTGAGGAGTCCTGTGAAGATGGCCTCAGGCCTCAGCCTACACAACTCTATTTTTAAAATTCTAGTTTCACACCTGCAGTCTCACCAGGCACACACACACAGAGCACTCCAGTATGGCCTCAAACAAGTTATTTCCCCTCAACCTGATAAATAGTGTGAAGGCCCTGGCAGGCTCTCCTAGCCTGATAAGAGAGAAAGGCATAAATATCAGGGTGGAGACCACCAGACAAGATGTTTCTGACCCCAGGGTAAATGATAATGAGAAACCTGGTGTTAGCTGAAGAAGATTGCAAGGGGGGTCAAAAAGCCCAAAATTTTATGTAAATAATAGGGCTAATGAACAGGGATTCAGCCAGCCAAAACAAGGATGCACTTGACATGGAGAGCCTGATGAGGACCTGACATCCCATTAGTTGTCTTCATTTTCTGATCCTCTGCATAATACTCACCACTCTCCAACTCTATGCCCTTGTCTGGACCCTGGTGAGAGTTGCAACTTCTCCCTATCATCCTCTCCTCAACCAGTCATCTGCTCCACACCAGGAAAGCCCTGCCTTGGTTTTTGTCATGATCACCCTGGTCTGAGTGACTGTGCATATGCTGGACATAAAGCCTAAGGCTTGAGACTTTTGAACTTAGCATGCAGAGGGAATGTCTGTAATTAGCCTGTCATTATTATGTGTGCTTTGCAGTGCTTAGAATTAATTTATAATTGTTAGCTCTGAATGGATTTTATCTATTGCAGTACCTAGCATTAAGAATTGTTGTTTTCTTGATTAAGAACCTATACAGTGAAATTATGTTGAGTAATTGAATGAATAAAGCATTGAAATTATTTTTTAAGTCCATCAGTTCTGCTTAACAGGTAAAATGGGGTAAACTTGGATACCTGGGATGGCCATGCCAATTGTTCACTGGAGCCATTGGCTGCTGTTGTTTCATTTTATGCATCATCCATTGACTGGACTTGAAGGCCTTTATCCTTCTTCTTCTCCCCAGACTCAATCATCACAATGGAAAAGGTTGATGGGTATTTTCAAAATACAGAGATCCTACTCTACTGGATATACTTTGGATTCCTATACTTCTTGATTATCTTGCAATTTCTCATTCTGGTAGTCTCTCCTACACTTGCATCATTTTTTGCTGTCAGATCTATAGAAACCATTCATCCCATGACCACAGCAGCTGCACATGACTCATTTGACTACTTCTCCAAATCATCTATGCCATTGCTGCCACATTTTTTTTGGCCAGGGGCTGGAGCCTGGGCTTCTGCAATTCATTGATAGTTCAACTTCCAAGGTTCATGTTTGCACACAGTGCAGTCAGAATCCTTATTTCTGTTTACAAGGAACTAATCCCATTATGTCACAGCTTTCCACAGGAGTTCACTGTAATTGGACTGAGGCAACAAAGTGTTGTATGCTTCTTCGTGTCCATAGGTGCCACTACTCCCCTAAAAATCTCCATTAATCTATCAGGACTGAGATATCTCTCACCTGCAAATATCCTAAAGACTATGCGAGTTGCTGTGTGGGTGTTGAGACCCAGGATGTAAAATTTTGGTCTCTAGCAATTGAGAGATGTGAGGAAGATTTGGCAGTGTACTCATGCTTATGCAGAGGTAACAATAGCTCCCAGGTAGCCCAGAGCATTCAGCCCTCAGAATCCTGCATCATTCCATAGGTCTTTTCATATATAGGCCAGAAAATGAAGGTGCGTGATCAATATTTTACATAGTGAACACATGCTCAGAAGAAAATGTTTATGACAATGAATGTATACACTTAATCAAGGTATTCATTACTTAAATAAATGATAATAATATTAATAATAATCATCATCATAATAATAACAGTAACCTGTTTGAAGCATCAACAACAGAGTAGCTATAGCCATGTTTGGCCTTTCCAATGATCCACCCTTATAGGTTTCATCATCAAAAAATCTACACACCTGAAGTCTTCTGCAAAGATCTATTAGCAAGGAGGTAAGAGCTCTGCATCCACAGGCCTCAAAAAAATATGCTGAATTGTGATATGACTAGAACACAATCCCCCTGTCTAGGATTACTAAAACCCATCTCCAGATGGTATCTAAACAAGCTCATCATTCTTGCAACTTCTCATTGATCAACTGATGTGTTGCTGCATCTAAAGATATCATATGTATTGAAGTCATACTGGTATTATTATATGGCAGAAACCCATTCCTGTGCTGCTGATAACAAATCAAATGCTATGTGATTTTGCAACACAACTTTTTGTATTTGATATTTTTCTTTATTAACTAGAGTTAGAGCCTGCTTTGTATGATTTAAGGTTTGGCTGTGTACTCTGTATCTTATTCACCAAGGTTACATAAAAATAAAGAAAATACCTCATCTTCATGAGTTTAAAATTTTATCATATAGTCTTCTCTTTAGCTATAACCACACCATAATTTTCCATAGGCTGTATGGTTTGAACTTAGTATCCTAATAATGCCAGAAGAAAAACCAGAAGTTCAAACATATTGAGTAACATTTTCAAATTAAATCAAAGTTTAGGCAGTAAAAAATTGTCTGGATAAAATGGAGATCAACAGACTGTTGCCTATAATAGATAATGTTACCTTCAGTATACATTGAAATATGGGTTTCAATATTTAAACCTTAGGAATTAAGCCAGAATTAATAAAGGAGTGATTATAACAGCTGCTTCTCTTCTTATCATTTCAATTTTGCCTATTCATAAACCAGTAAACAAGAGCCAATATTGTAACGCATGTCTGTAATTTCAGTGACTCAAGAGGCTGAGGAAGAAGGATTTTAAGTTCAAGGCTAGACTCAGCAACTCAGTGGGGACTTAAGCATCTTAGTGAGAACTTGGCTTATCTTTAAAAACAGATGGGTTGGAGATGTGATTTGTGATAAAGTGTTCTGAGTCCAGTCCTTGGTACAAAAAGAAAAAATTCTGCTTTTTTGTGCCACTATCTAACTTCTAAGACAATAATGAAAGATTGATAATTCATGTAGTCTAGAGGATGTGAGTTGTGGCTTTGGGGTCACAGAGAATTGATCCTGAATTCCAGTAAAGTTGCTTAATATTCAGGAGACCTTTCAAATATTCTTTCACACTGAACAGCTATGTAAACCTCATCCATTACAAAAAGCAGAATGATACCGAGTGTCAACATATTAGCAATTCTTTAGCCCTATCTGTACACATAAAGTT